AGGCCAGGCTGCTCCACACCCCCAGCCCCAGCCCCAGCCTGGCTCTCCAGACTTTCACCCACCGCCTACTTACTTTTTAATTAGATTTTAAAACAAAAAGTGAAAGTATTTTCTAAAATCCCTCTAATTACACTACGATGCTGAACTGATTGTGAAGGGAATAGGAAATGAAAGCGACTCACCCTCTGAGGGAGAATTTTGTCAGCCATCTTCCTCCTCTTGGCACTGTACATTTTTTAAAGAAAAAAACACGTTACCATGGTGACAGATCTAGGAGTAACGAGGCCACCTGCTAAATTATCCTGACATCTCCACATGCTGGTGCACAGCTGTGCATGCATCAGCAAAAGGGTCTCACCCATGCCCAGGACCTAGGACCCCTTCTCTCAGCAGCCCGGGGAGGCAGTTAGCGAAGAACAAATCGGGGCTCTGTTATGCATCTTGGAAAGAAGTGTGCAAGTTCTTTGATGGCAGCATCCTCTGCGGCGCAGGGCAGCACCGTGCGCGAGTGCATGTGCACGCTGTGCCTACAGACACAGGAAAGGCAGGCAGCAGGACAGCGTGCACGTGTGGAAGTGTGCACAGATACACCTGTACCTGCACACGTGAGCGGTGGAGTGCCCGTAAATGTGAACCTGTCCAAGCAGACGACACACACTCACTCATCCATGCCCAAAACTGATATATATGTGTGTCTATTTCATATAATGCATGAAAACACACGTACATGCGCGTCCTTCCCTACCTACACACACTTGTTTTATTGTAGCCTATTTGCACGAGTGGTACACAAAGGTAAGTGGGTTTACGTTTCCGTATTTGTTCATCTTTATGAACGCACACGGGGGAAGATACGAGCGTGCCTGCAGCATGTATACATAACGTGTCCATACCCACACACAAGCACATTTATATATCTACGCTTTTAAAAACATATTTGTGTTTGTGTACAAATGTGTATGTGCCTAAGAAATGGCACTGTCAGGAAGACTGCCAAATACGTCGCCTTTTCAGTTGTTCAGATCCTAAGAACCGTTTGTGCCCACCAAACCTGTCCCCTCGCTCTCTCCAACAGGGCCGAGAGGGAATTCAGGCCTTGTTCTTCACCTCTGCAATCTGTGAGGCCTTGATCTCAAGCAGGAGATGAATCACTCCATCTGTGACAGACCAAGAGGGGAAGGAGCCGCCTGTGCCCCTCCTCGCTGCTCACGCAGGAAGTCTGTCATCAGCCACGTCCACCCAAGGCTGCTCCCATACACCCCGATGTGCCACGCTCCCTTCCCTCTTTGCTGATAATAAGCCTGGCCTGAAACACCAGACTCTCAGATTCTTTCCCACCCCTGTGTAAGCCAAGCCTGAGGAATTTCATGCCCGAAGGTGCAAACAACATCCCTGCGGGGGGCAGAGCATTGTCTGCAGCCATACTCAGACGGGCAGGTGAACAACCCCTTTTCAACAGGAACAATGGGACTAGGATGTGGCGTGGGGCGAACCCCCAGCGCCCTCCTCAGCTCACAAAGCCAAATCCGCTCTGAATCACTGCACAGAATCTGGAGGTAAAGCCTGAGCGAACTCCATCCTCCCAAAGGGAAAGGGATTTGCGTGCACCTGCATCAGCCCCAAAGGCTTGCAATTAAAAAGCAAGTAATGAACAAACCAAGGACTCCCAACAACTTGGGTCTCAACCGCGTCTCCAAAAGTCTATTACAGAAATGAGATTTCTGCCCTCACCAAACCTGCCAGGAAAGTAAACATAGGACTGACTCCCAGAATTGGATCCAGGGTGCCAGAAAAGTCTGCCTGAAAAAGCAGAAAAATTTCAGTGGGAAACAACAGGGAGGTGGAAATGAAGGAGGAGAAAACATTCAAGGCATCGTCGGGAGGGGAGGCACGGCAGAAGAAACAGAAACTTTCCTGAGCAGCTGGGAGCTCTGGTGAGAGCTGGGCTCACTGCAGCGGAGGTGACTGCTGGGCTCCAGACCTGGAGCACCGAGGTCAACAACTGCGGCGGGCGCTGCTTCCTTCCAGTTGGGCCACCAGCTTTTAGGAAATGCTCTTCTTTAACCACTCCTGGACACTTGTGAGTGGCTGAGGTTTACCTTGGTGGCATTTCTCAGGTTCTCTCTACCCTGCACCTCTGAAGGCTGCCCGTTATTTTGTGTGGAGGTGCTGTGGGACACGCGTTTGGCTGGCGCTGGGCAAGGGCTCTGTGACACACACACACACACACACACCTTGTGCTGCACTCACACGCGTTCCCTCTGCATTCACTGATTCAGTCACAGTGTGTGAACACTCTCAGGACTGGTGTCCTTTCCAGATGCATCCCAGACACAAGCACTCCCACGTCTGGCTGGCTGATCCCAGGCGAACAGCCCGGACAGAGCAGGGCTCCTGAACTGAGCTCGGAGCCGTGATTTACCTACAGCGAGGCACAGCTCCCCCAGGATGAGGTCTGAACCCATACATACACCTGTAACAATTCTGCAAAGGGCAGGCCACCTTCAGGACTGCACCCCAAGTACTGACCAGGAACTGGCTCACACTTGGAACTGAAGGCTGCTGAGCTCTAGTGAGTTGCAAAAGGAAATCAGCAAACTGTTATTTAAGACAGAATGCATCCAGCACTGTACAAAGAGGGCACATTTTAAACGGAAAGCTCCTTCTAAAAAATCTCCCTAATTCTATGAAATTATTTCCTATGCATCTCTTTTCTTTAGATGCAGGAACGCCTGGGACCATTGCAGGCGTTACGACCGCTCTCCTGAGTGACCACAGTGCAAGGATTCACGTGAACAACCAGACACTTTTCCCACTTGTTTACAAACCATGTTGTTACCCAGTCAGAAATGGGAAAAACCATACAGAACAGATAACAAATAACACAATAATTGTACTTTATATAAAAAAGAGAAGCGTTCATTAACTTTAAAGGCTGAACACAGCGGCCAGATTTATAGCCCAATAAACTGCGAGGTGAAAGCATCGCAACTGCAAAACCAGGCATTAGTAAAGGTCAATTTGTTCAAGACCATTCACAAACCAAGTAAGGGGTAAAATTTACCAACGTTCTCCTGCTTTGAAGAACTGACAATACAGAAATAATCTATTCTGTCTCGCTCGATCTCCAGGGTCCCGCCTCCTGCTAAAAAGGTACCTCCCCGATCTGCTGTTTCCCGTCAGAAGTCCCAACACTCACCTCCTGGTCCGGCTCTGGGTGCCCTGCTGCTGCTGCTGCACCTGCTGCTGCACCTGCTGCTGCTGCACTTGCTGCGGCGCCGCGCGCTTCCTGGTGCTCTCCATCACGGCCGGGGGCATCCCGGGTCGCACCGAGGGGCTTCCAACATACGGCGGCCCTGGGGGACCCATGGGAGCCCCCTGATGGGGCATTCGGGCTCCTGATGGCATCCCAGGTCGCTGCAGAAGGAGCGGAACAGAAAGAAGAGCGGGTTTGGTCCCCGTTTCCTCAGCTGCAAGGACATTTGCACATCATCAGATGCTATCGCCAGCAAGTTCCCCGTTCTGACCACCCTGGTGAGCACCGAGCAGCCACACAGCGCTCAGGAGCTCGGGACGGGCATTTCCTGGCCATCGTGAAGAGGAATTCAGTGGCAGAGCAGACAGGGAACAGGAATGAAAAATACCGGGCTTGGGAAAACCCTGGTGGTCAGAACCGCATCCAGGCCAGCCTAGAGCCGACAGCTCGGCCGTCAGACCAAAGGAAAAGCTCCACGGCAGCTGCAGGCAGCTCCCAGGCGAATCAAAGCCAGGAGCGAGCTCACATCTACACCCTCAGACTGCGCTGCCTTAGCCGGCTGCTCCGGTCAGCACCGAGACCGCAGCAAGCAAAGGTGAGCCGTGAAAACACTACGATAAAGTGTTCTCCATTAAGAGCCCTCTCCTTCGCCTACAGCAGAGCAGCGCAAGTTCATAAAGCAACGAGAACCCTTTAAGAAAAGGTCACGTCTCCCATCAAGCCTCTAAAACTAAAAAAATAGGAAAGGAACACGGTAGTTTGCAGCAGTCCCTGCAGGCGCTCTGAAGTCTTGACACTTCTGATGGCTTCAGCGTGCTCTGGAGAGACGCTGGGTCAAATCACAACCTTAATACTGTGCGAGACACACGGTAAACTCAGCTCTGAGTTCTAAGAGTTTGTGGTCATCAAGGAAAAACACTAGCAAAGTAAGTACCACCTGTAAAATGCAATTTAAAAAAGAGAGAAGAGCTTAGCTGCATTCCAAGAATGCTGATTATTTGTCTACATGTGTGTGAAAATACAGACCAATACACACACACCCTACAGGTATTCGAACCAAGATGTGTCTCTTGAAAGTCAAGTCCCTCTACAAAGCGTTTTAAGGAAACCAAGAGGCAATGGCATCCGTGATGGATAAATAATTGGATAAAGGATACGAATGAGGCAAAAGTAATTGATTCTGGGAGAAAAGGAAGGCAAAAAAAGCAAGGAAGTGAAAAAGTTTGTAGGTAACACTAAGCTATTCCAGCTGGCGAGGATGAAGGCCACCTTCAGAGAACTGCAGAAGGACTTTGTGAAGGTGAATGAAGAACTAAAAGGAAGATAAAAATGGATTTCAATGCACGCTGAAGTGAATTACACGGGAAAAGACAATTCAGTCATCGCACACAGAACGACGGGCTCTGGGCTGACAGCTGCCCGGCAGAAGCAAGATCTGGGAGTTTAAACAGCCACTTCCAGAAGAAAAAATCAGTTCCCTGCTTCCTAGAGGGCAAAGTAAGCCATGAAACACGAGAAATCACAAGGAAGGGGACAGAGAACATCGCCTGCCACTGCTCATGGTTTGCCCACACGCTGAATGCTGCCCGCAGTGCAGTAATGGTGGAGCAGGTCTGAAAACAGTACAAAAATGGGGCGGAAATTATTAAGATATGGAACCGCATCCATGTAAGGAAAAGTAAGCACACGCTGATTTTCCATCTGGAAAGAGGTGATCCAGGGCGATCCAAGGGGGCACCTCCTTGAGCTCTGCAGAATCAGGAGTGGCCTGGAGAGGGCGGCTGGGGACCGACCGCTCACTGCCCCCAGCCACGACCCAGGGCCAGGAGCCAAGGGGCGTCCTGCCCCACAGCAGAGGCTGTGGAGCCCCTTTCCAAAGGGCTGCAAGCCACACACACAGCACATTCAGCTCAGAAACTTCTCCGAGTTATCGGCAATTAAAGACTGAGAAAGTACTTGGGAGATGTGCACTGGCAGGCTCCAAAGTGAGGGGAGTGCACCCCAAAGGATACGCAAGACAGTCCTTTGGGGCTGGGAAGAAAATGGGGTTTGTACCGTTATATAAATAATAAAATAAAATAA